GTTAAATTTAACTTTGTATTTCATTTTAACTATTGTAAGATGTTTGTTTAATTAAGGAAACAATTTTAAATTTTATTAAAACTGTTTTTGACATAACTTGAAATCCATCTTCAGACTAACAATAAATAATATATAATTGGTATGAAGAAATAATAATATAATGTTATGGTAACATTCTATAATTTAAATGAATGTTTGATTCTCCTAATTATGCATTCTATTTACTGTATTTTTCTATGTATATGTTACCGCTAAAGCTCGAAATCCGTTAATGTGCGCATTACCTAGCTAATCTGCAGATTAACTAGGGTGATCCGTTAAAGCTGTGAAAATTATTCCATTTCTCAAATTACCTAGGTAATGTTCAGATTATCTAGGTAATCTGCAAATTACCTACTAGGCACTCGGTAAAGTGAAAATAAGATTTTTGCTGGAACAACAGCAACGTTTCTGTACGCTTAAATTAACATAATGTTATTTATTTAATTTTCAATATCTAAAGAATCAAGTTAATACAATCAACAAATTAGTTGATTGAATCAATCATCAATCAATTAAAAAAACTTTAATACAAAAATCAAACGGTTTAAAATATTACTACAATTAGGGAAATGAATTTGCAAAACATATGATAAAATTGTACTTACTTATTAGTGCAATCTAAAGATTGGTGACACTTTGAATTACGTAGCAATTGGTTTTTGCGACAAGCACGCCTATTTGTGGTACATTTAGATTTGCAGTCACATTTTCTGAAACCCTGCCCAGTACCAAGGGATTGTTTTATTGCTGTTTGACGTAAAGATATTTCTACAGCAGGGACATCCATCTTCTTTCGTTAAAAATCTCTCTTTGCAAACACTGAATTCAGATTTTGCATACAATTGTTTTAAAATACCTGTTTTAGTATCAAGTTTATAAAAGCCATCCTCTGTTTTACTAAGAACCACAGCTAAAATTGAACGTGCATCAGTTTTTGCTCTGTCTTCTTCGGGTACTTTAATTCTCACAGCGAAACCTTCATCGACGTTTGGGTGCTTTGCATTAGAAACTGCTAACATTTTCTTTGCTTGCTTTTCTAAACATTTCTTGGCTTCATCACGCTGTATTTTCTGATCCATATTCTTTTTACAGATGATGCACAATACATTCTTACCATACCCTTCCTCTTTAGGATCTACTTCACCACAAACTGCGTGAACAAACATATTACACGATTTACACTTGTGAGCACTTGATGCTGCTTTTGAGCAAACAATACAGACTATGTCTTGTATAGTGCTCTTTACAGGCTCCGTACGAAACTGTGATGGCGATTCTGCTGAAGTTGAGAGTAACTCAGTGATGACTTCTTCAACTTGCAGAGGCGATTCCTTGGAGGTGCAGGGTAACTGAATATTCTTCGTGACTGCATCATCAATCAACGGTATAGAAGGCAGTTTAAGATTACTATCGGTAAATTCTTGTATTTCTATAGGTGATTCTGTAGAAGCGGGGGATAACGGAATGTCCTCTTGAGTAAGATTTGACTGTGATCTCATAATCACAGTCTCTTGTGAATCTTCTAATTTTTCAAGGTCTTCTTCAGTTTTTATCGAATGTCAAACAATTCTCCGGCATGGACAAACTTTTTCAAACCTTTCTCGCGCATCTGACAACGGCTCAATGAGTTTTTCACAGCCTCGTACAGTCAACACATCACACCTTTGAATTATTTGATAATCTCGAGATGATTCTTTCTTCTTGGAAACTTTTATTTGCTTTACATCTTCAATTATGGAATCATACTTTGGTTTGTTATTAAAACACTACGTATTATATTTTAAATCTTCGCTAAAGAGGTTTGCGAAGAATCTTTTCTTGATTTTACTCACCAATTCGGTGCTTGCTTGCATTCTAGGATTTAAATTTATCTACGTAAAAAGAAGGAGTGGGGAAAGGAAGTGAAAGAAACAAACTTTTGAACTTTAACGATACGGAAGCCGTTAATGTGCAGATTACCTAGATACTCTGCAAATTACCTAGGTAATTTGAGAAATTGAACAATTTTCGCAGCTTTAACGGATCACCCTAGTTAATCTGCAGATTAGCTAGGTAACATATACACAAATATTGTGTATAGTGAACTCTTGTATAACATACTCCCCTATAACACAAATTCATGTAATGAGACACAGAAATTGATTAGTACTCTTACAAAATTTGAATTTTGTCATTCATAGGTATGTTTTCTTCTTCAACTTCTATGCCTAGGTTTAAATTTACATAAAATCATCTGATAATGCAGGTCTCGATAACATGATTTCCTGCATTGTGGAACATATCCTCCCACGTTCGAACTCCACTCTAAATGTCATTGTAACTAAAGCCATATGAAGTTCACATTACAGTCGATCCCCCTATAACGTGCGTTCCTATAACGACAATTCCTATAACGTAGCGAAAAAATTGTAACAACATTCATATAAAGTACCTCCTATAACGTCGTTTCGCGACAAGATTGATAGAATCTGGACCAATAGTGGATGAGCAGCCGAACTACTTTCCTCCGACCATGCGCCACGCTACGGAGCGGTAAAATGAAGTTNGGATGCATCTGTTTAATGAATTTAACTGTCTTGTAGTTAGATATATTTCTTATTATTGAAATATTTTTATGTAAAGTGATTGGTAACTGCAACAGAATATCAAATTTAACTTAAAAGTTAAATATATTTAATAACTGTAAACTTTCATATTTATTTGTGGAATTTTTCAAAATATATTTTTGTAATTAATAAAATACGATTAAGTTATTTACTATAAAAAATTTAATCTTAATATGAAAACTCAGTGTCTTATAATATTTTATATATATAGTGTACTAAATATCAGAATAGGATTTCAAAATTAATTCCTCAAGTAGAACAACTCTTAAAAGAAGGATCTCTTACGGAAGAAATTGTTCTCGATAATGTACCAAAATTAATGAACATTGTTCGTGAATGCAATGTCACATTGCGTTGGATGTTGTTGCATACCTCCGTATTATCACCAAGTATGTTGTTTTCTTTTCTTAATTTATTATGTTAACTTTAGCATGTGATGTGATGTTTTAAAATATTTCAAATTAACGTTTTATAATTTGGAAATAAATTATTTTAATATATTAATAATACAAATACATTATAAAAAATACAATTCTTTCCCGAAAAAATATCTGTAGTGATACCTTTACCATATATCAAATGTAAATTTTTTATATTTGAATAGGTCATAAAATTAAAAATTTTCTGTAGCGGAAACAAAATTACAAATACTAAAATGTTGAATTTCATAATACAGTAATATGCGATGATTATTTCATTTATTAAATATATTTATTTATTAATAATTATCTTAATTTCAACATGCCTTTAAGATTAAGAATATAAACATTACTTAAAATACAAGAAGTCATATTTCAAGATTCATTTCTTCCATTATCATGCAGATAATTACTTGATATGTTTGATTTTATTATTCAATTATTATTATTAAAGCATTTGATTGATGAAGTCTGCCATAAAATGTATAAGGGAATGTTCACTTATTAAGAGAAAATTATTTGTAAATTCTGGCTCCATAGATACAAAAGAACAATCTTTCAAATCAACTAGATCATTAATATTAAGAATAACTTTTAAAAAAAAATCAATTTTATTGACTAAACATCTTAAATAATGTGTTCCTTTGTTGACAGGTGCTGAGAATAATAAACGATGTAGGCAATTAAGAGATCAAGTTTTAACCGACAGTAAATATAAGCCACTCCAAGTTTTCCAGTTGTTACTATATACAGCTCAGTTTGAATTAAAAATAAAAGAGGTTAGTTTCTTTAAAATATTTACAAAAAATACAGTTTTATAATCTAAAATATTTTATGTTTTAGATGTTCAAACAACTGTTAACTGAAAAACATGAAAAATGGATGAATTATCAAAAAGAAGGGATGGAAAGAATGACTGAATTAACTGATGTATTTTCTGGAATGAAGCCTTTAACTCGAATAGAGAAAAATGGTAAAAATATTAAGTTTTTTTCAATAAATAAAACATTATAAAAATGAATTTTACACATTCTTAAAAATAAAATTTCATAGAAAATCTTCAAGCTTGGTTTAAAGAAATGTCTAAACAAATCGAATCTTTGAGTTATAGTGATGCAACTGTTACGGGAAGGAAAATAGTTCAGTTAATTCAAGCATTGGAAGAGGTATATAATAAATTTTTTCATTTATAGTTAATAAAATAAGGTTGGAATTGTATATAGTTCTCACCAGTTTTCTTATAAAATAATATATTTTTAATAATTGTATTACTTAGGTTCAAGAATTTCATCAACTTGAAAGCAATTTACAAGTCTGTCAGTTTCTAGCTGATACAAGAAAATTTTTGCATCAAATGCTCAGAACAATAAATATTAAAGAAGAAGTGTTGATAACTCTTCAAATAGTTGCTGACTTATCATATGCTTGGGAAATTATTGATAGGTAAAATAATCGAGAAATTTTGTTTGAATTATTAAATCAATTTATATATGATTCTTCTTTAAATAGTTACACCAGTTACATGCAACAAGGTTTGAAGAGAGATCCTTCTCTTGCAATAAAGTTAAGAGCTACATTTTTAAAGGTTTGATTGATTACTTACACTAAATTTAAGATGAAATAGAACTTAATGTAATATTTATTAAACTAACCATCAATGAAGTAAAGGTTCAAAAATAGTTTTTATACAAGAAATAAAATGCTGTCTCTTGAATAAGTTGGTAAAATTCAAGTGCATTACAACAGNGGTTGGAATTGTATATAGTTCTCACCAGTTTTCTTATAAAATAATATATTTTTGATAATTGTATTACTTAGGTTCAAGAATTTCATCAACTTGAAAGCAATTTACAAGTCTGTCAGTTTCTAGCTGATACAAGAAAATTTTTGCATCAAATGCTCAGAACAATAAATATTAAAGAAGAAGTGTTGATAACTCTTCAAATAGTTGCTGACTTATCATATGCTTGGGAAATTATTGATAGGTAAAATAATCGAGAAATTTTGTTTGAATTATTAAATCAATTTATATATGATTCTTCTTTAAATAGTTACACCAGTTACATGCAACAAGGTTTGAAGAGAGATCCTTCTCTTGCAATAAAGTTAAGAGCTACATTTTTAAAGGTTTGATTGATTACTTACACTAAATTTAAGATGAAATAGAACTTAATGTAATATTTATTAAACTAACCATCAATGAAGTAAAGGTTCAAAAATAGTTTTTATACAAGAAATAAAATGCTGTCTCTTGAATAAGTTGGTAAAATTCAAGTGCATTACAACAGAGATGAATTTAAAGGATGAGAGTTCAATTTTAATTCAAATTTTTGTTATAATGCATTTTGTTCTATTATAATTTTTCTTATGTTTTCAATTATTTACCTTTCAGTTAGCATCGGCGCTAGATTTGCCTTTAATGCGTATCAATCAGGCATCTAGTCCAGATTTGATGTCAGTTTCACAATATTATTCAAATGAACTAGTGGCTTATGTTCGTAAAGTCTTGCACATCATTCCCGAAACAATGTTTGAACTATTAGCTCGGATAATAGAATTGCAAACTAACCATATTAAAGAAGTACCGACTAGATTAATGAAGGATCAGTTAAAGTCATACGCTCAACTCGAAGAACGCTATGAGGTTGGTTTTTTTTCCTTTTTCAATATAAAATATTGTAGATGTCCACTTTACAAACTATTAGTTTTATGATATAAATTTCCTTACTTCTCTTAATATTTCAAAATAGTATTTAAATTACAACAAAGCTATGGTAAACTACAGTTAATTGTTTTCCAAACATCAATTAAGTCATAGACGTGGGGAATTTACTTTAAAAATAAACTTAAAATTATTAATTAATTAGATGATGATTTTACTTCTAAATAATTACTTCTATACTAGTTTTATATAACCAAGTTTTTTTAATAACAATAAAATAATATATAAATATAAAACTACTTAGGTTGCAAAACATACACATTCAATATCAGTATTTACTGAAGGAATATTAATGATGAAATGTACTCTTGTTGGCATTATTCAAATTGATCCAAAGCAGTTATTAGAAGATGGTATAAGAAAAGAATTAGTTAAACGTGTTGCAAGTGCTTTAAATAATCGTCTCGTATTCAATTCGAAAGCCAAGGTATGACTTTTTGCATTTATTAATTTTGTAATTATAATAATAATAATAATAATAATAATAATAATAAT